TAAAAAAAAAAGAAGTCCTTCCAAGTCAGACTTTAGCAGAGAAAGCCAAAAAACATGGAGGGGGAAAAGAATCAACAGAAAAGGCAAAATCACACTCAAAGAATCTGAAAGGAACAATTTTTACTAGCATATAATAATAAGCTTAAGTGTTCTAAAGAATCCAGACTAGCCTATCCTGACTAGAAATCAGAGACCTGAGTTTTATATATATACTCACAGACTATAGGCAAATTACCTGGCTGCTCCAAGCCTGTTTCTTGAACTAAAATTAGTTCAAGATATTCATTCTGCCTGTCTCATATGATTGCTATGAAGAAAAGCTGATTTATAAATATGCCATGTAAACTCTAAAATTAAATAGACATTCCCATTACTAAACTACAATTTTAAACAATTTCCTCAGTTCTAAAAATGACTTACTATCCCACCTAGTTTCTGCTAAGGAAAACAGTAAGATCAACCAAGTAATTGTTGAAAATGTATCATTACCCAAAAAACTGTTGACAAAACCTTTCTGAAACTTTTTTTTTTTTTTTTTTGTCAGCCATGGCTTGAACTCTAGTCTAGGTCCCTACAGGTGAATGCTCTACCACTTCAGCCACAGCACCACAGACTTTCCTGCCCTGGCTGGCTTTGAACCACAATCCTCAGATCTCAGCCTCCTGAGTAGCTAGGATTACAGGCATGAGCCATTGGTGCCCAGCCCTTTTGAAACTTTTAATCACTGAACAAGTAGTTGACATTATTATCAAGCAGTCAGTATATTTCAGATACTATGCAAAAAAGAGTTTTTAATTTAATCTTCACAATAACTATTTTAAATAGCCAGTGAATATGGCTCAGAAATATCAGAAAACATTCCCCCAAAAAATCATAAAACTAAAGGATAGAAATGCCAAATTGAATCTCAAGTAGACTGACTGCACAGTCTAAGTCCACCCCAACAACACATACCACCTCTACTCCCTCAGCAGAGACCAAGTACCCGCAATACTGCGTAGCACTTCTGAGGTGTGAATGGGCCCAGCCCCACCAGAATGATAATGCTATCTATATATGTAGTAAAAACCACAAATCATTTTCAGTTCTAGGCTCTGAGACTTTGACAAACAGGAGTTGGTTTTGTTGTTGTTGTTGGCGGGGGAGGTTGGTAATTTTCCTCCTTATAAATAAATAGAGTATGGGAAACAGAAGTAGGAAAAGTGTAACATAAGAGGGAAATAAGTCATTGGCTCTGTAAAAGCTTTACTAAGATCACCTTCTTCCCAGCTAAACATAAACTTAAAGATAAACTCCCCATCTTCTACCTGTTGACTGCAACACCCAAAGGCTGAGTCTGTGGATTCTGGTCTTCTCGATGATGAATTTATTGACTGTCTACTGATACAAGGCAATGTAAAAGTACACATCATGAAATCAGGCTACTTCCTCTACCTGCTAAGTTTCTATAAAGAAAAATACCAGTGCTAAACCCAGCACAAACACATCTGGCCCATGCTACAGGAAAAAGAAAAACCCTGTCATTCTTAATAAATTCAGCAAAATTGCTAAACAAAAATTATAAAGAAACTTTTTTGTGGCTCTAGGTAGTTTTAGGTATATAGAAAAATATAAAAGGATTTAAGGGGTTGGGTGGTAGAGTGCTTGCCTCACATGCTTAAGGCCCTGGGTTCGATTCCTCAGCACCACATAAGCAGAAAAAAATGGAAGTGGTACTGTAGCTCAAGTGAGCGCTCACCTTGAGCTGAAGAGCTGAGGAACAGCACCCAGGCCCAGAGTTCAGGCCCCACGACCAACAGAAAAAAAAAAAGGATTTAAGTAAATATCCAAAAAATAAACAATGTATATAAAGCGAGAAAACATAAATCACTAATGCGAAAAGATAATTTATATTATTACTGCATTCTGCACTAAGTGATTAAATAAACATTACATTGATTACCAATGCAATGTGTATAGGCATGTAAATAATTCTTTTTCTTTTTTTGGTACCTGTGTGACTTGAACTCAGGACCAGTACATTGTCCCTGAGCTTTTGTGCTCAAGACTAATTAATGCTCTTACTATTTGAGCCACAGCTCCACTTCCAGCTTTTTAGTGATTAGAGATAAAGAGTCTCAAAGACTTTACCTACCCAAGATGTTTTTGAAGCATGATCCTTGATCTCAGCCTCCTAAGAAGCTAGGATTATAGGCATGAGCCACTGGTACCTAGCTACCTAAGTAATGTTTAATTAAGTGATAAAGAATGTTTATGTGACCCTTACTTTGTCTCCATCTGCTGGAAAATAACAGCACTTTCCTAAGAGCAATACAAATTGTATGACTACTAGAAAAGGAACACTTTCTGAAGATATGAAATTACATCTTTAATGTTTCCACATTATTTATCTGCAATTTCACACAATAATTTTTACATTTTCCTACTTAATATAACAAATGAAAGGCATTAAGATATTCTCATAGAATCATACTTTACATTAACTCATTTAACATAAAAATCTATAAATGAAAACATTACAGAGTAAAAAAATAATCCGTTTGATCCCAAATACATAATAAAACAAACTTCTTAAACAGTAATGACTTAATCAAGGCTTCAAAAGATTCTAAGTATTTTATCCATGTTTTGTTGCAAAATCAGGCTATTCCCTTCACCAAGTTATAAGAAGTCAAGAAATGTCTACGAGTCTACAACCACAACATGTGGATACTGCCAGGGGCCAGTGGCTCATGCCTGTAATCCTAGCTACTCAGGAGGCTGAGATCTGAGGATCACAGTTCAAAGCCAGCCCAGGAAGGAAAGTCCCTGAGATTCTTATCTCCAATAAACCACTCAGAAAACTGGAAGTGGCGCAGTGGCTCAAAAGGCAGAGCATTCGCTTTGAGCTGAAGAGTGCAGGGACAATGCCCAAGCCCAGATTTCAAGCCCCACAACTGACAAAAAAAAAAAAATCATGGATACCTTTAGTAACTGATGACACACCACAGTCCTCCGATGGAAGACCTGTCCCGCCATCCTTCCAATATGGATTCAACTCTCTTTCTAGCAGTTTGGACTAAGGAAAACAAAAACCAAAAACATTTTCAAAGGCTAGAAAGTAAAAATAAATCCTCCACAACAAAGTACTGGTAAATAATAAATCTGAGGCCCAGTTAGCAAAGTTAGTTACAATCCTAAACAAACCATTCAAAAGACACAGTGTTTTATAATTTGCAGGTAATAATGTCTAACTTCACATCCACTCAATGTTTGTATGGAGTATGTCCTATGTCTCAGAAAGGTATTAGGTGTCAATGAAACTGGCTTAGACCTAACTAGCTTACAATACAGTGAGGAACACAGACCAAAAATAACTGATACATGCTTTAAAGATAGAAATACCAAATATGAAAGTCACATAAAGAATTCACACTTGTCTCACACTGAAGGGCCAAAGACGCCCTAGAGAAAGTAATATCTGGTAGTCTCAGACAGATGAACAGAAATTAGTTTCTATTGAGGATGTGGGAAGGGGTAGAGAACATACAAATGTTCCAATATGTTCATTAAATCTTATAGAAAGAAAATACAATGATTTCAAGGAAATTAACTTTACTTTGGCTAGAAGTTAGGAGTGTATACAATAGAGACAATGAGATTAGGTTGGAGAATAATCATAGCCTAAGCCACATTACCTACTGCATGGTGTTTGTACTGGGGGCAATGATAGCTCATAGAATGCATTACACAAAGTGTGAACTGGTCTCACTATGGAATACATAGAAGAGAAAAACTGGACTAGAGATAGAAGTACAGTCAGAAGATGGTAGCAGATCTCTTGATCTGAGAATCAGGGCTTGGAGCCAGACCAGATTGACAAATCTAAAAGATTCTTACTTCCAATTAATCAGCAAAAAGCTGGAAGTGGAGGAGTGGCTGAAGTAACAGAGCTCCAGCTGTGAGCAAAAAAGCTGAGCAAAAGTTCTCAAGGCCCTGAGTTCAAGCCCTAGTGACAGCACCAAAAGAAAGAAAGAAAAAAAAAAAGAGCAAAGAAAATCCTAACTACTTAGAAGGTAATGACAAAAGAATCACAGTTCAAGGTTAGCCCAGGCAAAAAAGTGAGACCTTATCTCAAATAATAAGGCAGGCATGCCATCTCATGCTTGTAATACTAGGAATAGGAGAGGTGTAGGGAGTAGGATTATGGTCTGTGGCCAAGATCATATCTGAACCAAAATGGGTTGGAAGTGTAGCTCAGGTGATAGAGCACTTGCCAAGCATCCACTAAAACTGCACTTCTACACTCCAGGATTGGGTGATGCGCTAGAGAAGCTGCAAGCTTCAGAACCTCCTTACTAGCTAGGTTTTTACTTTTGCCTCCTTTAAAAAAAAAAAAATTGGCTTATTTTGTTTTACCTCTAAAGATTTCCAGTGTTTTCTTACCAACGAAGTGAAAACAATCTAATATAAAATATACATGCTTATTTTACATTTAGAACTTGTAGATGTCTTAAAATAGGAGTCTTTTATAGTACCTATTTTAATGTGTTTCATTGAAAAGGAAATCAGGGGTTCGGTTTTAATTTAATGATGGTAACATCCACTCAATATTCACTCAGCTACACATGCCCTAGATTTATAAATCTAATAGACCTTAAACTCGTTTCCTATAGGAAACTGAGATTAAAAGATTTATGTTATAGTCACATTAATTAAATGTCATGAAAGATAAAATATTTTACAAATAAAACTATTTTTATAACTGTCTTCACAGTTTATTAAAGGCAAATTTAGAAAATTAAGCATTTCAAAAACTCTCTTACCCGTTCCAGTGCTTCAGTTTTCTCTTGCTCTATTTTTCTAATGGTTTCCTTTTCAGCTTTTAGTGATGCTGCTGACACAGTTTTAACAGACATAAAATCAACAGTCATCCACTCATCCCTCTGTTTAAAAGAAAAAGAGGCCATTTCACTCTGAACTGAATAGAATTTACTAAGAGCAGGGACTTTGAAGGCACTTGAGCAGGATTAAATCCTTACGCCTTCAAGCAGGTTTCATATTCCCTCTACATCTTAAGTTTGCCCCTTATAGAAGGGGACACAATACTACTTTTCAGGGCTTAGGGGTAGAGAAGATAACAGGAATAAGGCACCCAGCACCAGGCCTGACACACCACAATCAAACATTAGTCCCCATCTTTCTTCTTAGGCACGTAAACTATAATTCAAACTTTGTTGAACTACTCAACTGGAAGTATCCGCAACAAATTTTAACATGTGGTGAAAGGGCAGAAATATTTCTGCACACATGGAAGGGTCAGACAGAGGGAAAAGTGCAAGGCTACACACCATGAGGGGCAAGTGCCACCTCTACCAACAAGCAAAAGCTGGAGGCTTTAAGGGTGCAGTTCAGATGTCTCACATCTCATGGCAGATGTTCAGCAAATAGCTTCATTACCAAAATTATTCAGATACCACAAATTGCTTCTGAGACTAATTTTTCTCCTCAAGAAATTATAATCCTGTTCCATCTTAACACTCACCTATTTCTAGAAGCTGATACGTCTTTCACTCACCTGAATAACTTGGCCATCATCTTCTTTTTCTGACTTTTCACCCTTCACTTTCCAGGCCTTTTCTTTGCCAGGAGGCTGGGAGGGAACAGCCTCAACCCACTCATCTTCAGAGCTCTAAGAATATTTAACACATAAGGGAAATTCACAAGCCTTCCTATGCTCTTAAGATGGCTCACCGATAAAACTCTTCCACTGGAGTTTCCCTTTTTCTTTCCCCTTCTTTTCATAATATTGACAATCCCCAGCTTTTCTGTCAACTTTCTAACTACTTGAGAACAAGCACCATTCGTTACTGCCTATCTGGCTCTTCACTGTGGGTGTTCATCTTCCTTCCCGGTTCCTCTAGGCATGTCACCCATGCTAATGGCTCCACCAACACTGCTACCTAAATCACATCCCCACCCACTCTCCAGATCTACATTGCTAACATTTCCTGGACATCTCCATGTAAATGTCTTCCAATTTTCATATCATATCTAGTACATTTTCTTAAATATCTGCTTTGGTTAGTTTTAGTGTACTTACTGATGAGCTATCAGTTGACTCGTTTTTTTCATATTTCTGTTTCTTGCTCTTTTTTTTCTTTTCTTTCTTTAATTTTTTTGAATGCTTGTCTTTTTTCTTCTTTTTCTTCACAGAATGTTCCTGTAAGCAATTACATGTTAAACTAAGAAAGAAAATTATTTCAAAATGAACCATTTTAAAGGGGAAAAAAATCCATACTCAAAGAGTCTTTAAATCTTTCAGGAAGAGAAATCAAATCATGACTAAATACATGAAACCTTCCCAGAAACCTTAAAATGTTCTGTAAGATAGAAACTACTGATGATATAGCTCATAAAAATTACAAAAGTGTTTATATGTGACACAAAAACATATGACAGGTTATTTTAAATAAACACACATCTATATACAAATATATAAACATGTATATATAAACATACACACAAACAATACATATAACATATCTATGACCTCCTCAGAGATCTGTATGAAATCATTAGGTCATAAAATATATACTAAAACAGCATGAATTAAAAGCAGGAGGAAGAGGGAAACAGAAGAGGGAAGGAAAAGCACAGAGCAGCAGGAGAAGAGGGAGGGAAAGATGCCAACCGAAGTATATGGAGCTCAATCAGGCTGAAGGAAAAAACTGCACAGCCTGGTAACCACAGTTAATAGTAACACTTTGGATATTCCAAAATTACAAAACACTTTTGTGATTTTTTTTTAATGTTCTCACTATAAAAAAAAAAGTAGTGATGTGAAAGACAAGTTACTAAGTTTTTCTAATTTATACTTAAAACAAAATACTATACTGTACTCCATTAATATATACGGTTACTGTCCATTTTTTTAATTTAAAAGAGAAAATGAGGCTTAAATCCCCTTCCTCTAAGGAAAAAAAAAAGAACCTAACAGGATATAAAGCTTAAAATGTACATTTTTAGGTCCACAAGCTTCCTACAAATATACTAGAAACTTGAAGCTAAATCTTCCATGAGCCAAAACAAATAACAAAATCTTTTAATGCCACGACATCCAAAATATTACAATACTTTTGCCAGAGACAAAACTATTCAATAGTGCCAACTATGTAATATTCATTCTGTAACTTATGAAAACAGTAAAAAAAAAACTGCTCTCTCAATATTAATTTGATTAGTATGGAAAGAGATAGGTATCCTTCCTCCAATAAATTTAGCAATACCTCTGAGAATTGTTCAATTCGCTCATTCACATCAGGTAGCATCCATGTATCCTCACCCCGAAGCCGCTTAAGTTCTTTACGCTTTTCTTCTTTTTCAAAATTGGCTTTGGCCTACAACAACATGAAAAAACCAATTGGCAAATGATGCAACTGCTTTTCAAAAAAAAAAAGAACTAATACCACTTTCATATAGAGGTACCTGCTCATGAGTGAATGAATGGTCTAGTGTAGAAATGACTTTAAAAATATTCTTTGGGCATTACCGATCTTCAGTACATTAAACCACCTCTATCTAATTCTATCATCGATAGAATTCTGGGCCATCCCCTCTCCATCTCAAATCTGGCTTGAGTCCTTTTTCCTTCCACTTGCTGCTACTCCCTTAGACTTCCATTAACAATCAGGAGTGTGACCCTCATACCTTCGACAAGGAGACTGACCTTCATAACTTCAACAGGCAATGCCTATACCCCTAACACTTAACCCAAAAAAAACAAATGCCTTAGAAAAAAAATCATCTTTCTAAATGGAAATAATCACATTGCTAATTTCTATTCACTCTTCCACAATAGTGAAGTAAAACCAGTTTTTTCCAGGAAGCTATTTCTGCTCTCTCATTTCTCCTCCCAAACTCCAAAGCTGGATTCAGTCCTTCTCAACTCCTATGCATAGATCAACTATAAAATGTATCACAGAGTATAAAGCCCACTTCCTCTAAAAACTGCCAGAAATATCACAGAGACAAGAATGGGGAGCATGTATTACACATACTCTAAACTGAAGGAATGGTATCAACTATTCACCTGTCCAAGAACAACTGCTCCCTTTTGGTCGTAGACACTATTCAGCTTTCTGTCTCCTCTACTTTTTCTCCACTGACTGCTTTTTATACAGAAACATTTAAATTCGTTTAAAACCTACCTGAAAACAAAACAAAAATTTACACTCTACTCTTTGTGGCTCAACAGTTATCACGGTACCCTTTCATTGTCACACTTCTCTTATTTTTTCCCCCGATTCTGGGAATCGGAAGCCAGGACCCTCACACGTGCTAAGCTACACCCCAACGCTTTCCCTATCACAGTTCTTACATCTTGAACAGCTAGCCTGTCAGGTAATTCAATGGTTCACTCCCCTCCTAGTTTTAGGCTACCTCTCTGCATCTCGCCTTTTTTTTTTTTTTTTTTGGTCAGAAGTGGGGCTTGAACTCAGGCCCTGGGAGCTGTCCCTGAGTTTTTGTTCTCAAGGTTAACACTCTACCACCTTGTGCCACAGCTCTACTTCGGGGTTTGGTTTGTTTGTTGGAGGTGGTTAATGGCAGGTAAGAGCCTCAGGAACTTTCCTGCCCGGGCTGGCTTCCAGCCGCAATCCTCAGATCTCAGCCTCCGGAGCAGCTAGGATGACAGGCGAGAGCCACCAACCAGCCGGCTGCATCTCACAATTCACAGACTACTTGGCCTTCGGGGCGGGGCCCCATTTTTACACTTCAGGTGTTGGGTCTGGGGTCGGGTCAGGTGTCGGGTCAGGGGTCGGGTCTGGGGTCGGGTCAGGGGTCGGGTCAGGGGTCGGGTCTGGGGTCGGGTCTGGGGTCGGGTCTGGTATTGGGTCTGGGGTCGGGTCTGGGGTCGGGTCAGGGGTCGGGTCAGGTGTGGGTCAGGGGTCCGGTCAGGTGTCGGGTCAGGGGTCCGGTCTGGGGTCGGGTCTGGTATTGGGTCTGGGGTCGGGTCTGGGGTCGGGTCAGGGGTCGGGTCAGGGGTCGGGTCTGGGGTCCGGTCTGGGGTCGGGTCTGGGGTCGGGTCTGGGGTCGGGTCAGGGGTCGGGTCTGGGGTCGGGTCTGGGGTCGGGTCTGGTATTGGGTCTGGGGTCGGGTCTGGGGTCGGGTCAGGGGTCGGGTCTGGGGTCGGGTCTGGTATTGGGTCAGGTGTCGGGTCAGGGGTCCGGTCAGGGGTCGGGTCTGGGGTCGGGTCTGGGGTCGGGTCAGGGGTCGGGTCAGGTGTCGGGTCAGGGGTCCGGTCTGGGGTCGGGTCTGGTATTGGGTCTGGGGTCGGGTCTGGGGTCGGGTCAGGGGTCGGATCAGGGGTCGGGTCAGGGGTCGGTTCTGAGGTCGGGTCTGGGGTCGGGTCTGGGGTCGGGTCAGGGGTCGGGTCAGGGGTCCGGTCTGGGGTCGGGTCAGGGGTCGGGTCTGGGGTCGGGTGTAGTTCTGGTCAGGGAAGGCTGGGATGCAAACCTCCCGTGAGTCAGGGGTGAACGAACCCCCCCCCCATTTAAATGACCTTTGTGTTCCTGAAAAGGATGCATCTCACTGCAGACTCACGCGCGGGGCGAGCGGGGGAGCGCGGGGAGCCGGGGCTCGGCGGGCCGCCGTCGGAGGAGACGCCCGGGGCACCCCAGCGCCCCGGGGACCCCTCCACACAACTCCACAGAACTCCAGCAGTTCCAAAAACGCGGAGTACCTGACGCAACACCTCGGCCCTGGCGCTCCGGAGCTGCTCCTTACGCTCTTCGATGCTCTGGGAGCTTTCAAATCTCACACCGGGGGCCGCCATCGTTGCTGTCGCCGTAAAGCGAGGAGGCCGTCCATCAGGCATGCCCGCTTTACGACCCCGGTCGTAATATTTAGTAAACAAACCGGGACTTCCGACTCCTGGCGAGGAAGGGGCGTGGCTCTGACGACAGAGCGTGCGCAGCTGGGAGTCTCTCCTCGCGCTTCCGGCGGTCGGCCCAACCCGGAGTCTTCCTTGGGGAGCCGTGCCCCGTGGGTCTGGGGCTGCGCTCGCTCGCGCGTGCGCGCGGCGCCCACCCGCAGGCTGGCCCGGGGTTTAAGGCCAACGCCTGTGACCCTAGCCCCTCCATATCTATGTCTGATAACGTTTAACTGTCCCAAGCCGGGCAACCGGGGGCCCACGCCTGTAATCCTAGCAACTCGGGAGACCTGAGGCTGAGCTCTGAGGATCGCGGTTCGAAGCCAGCCCGCGCAGGAACGTCCGCGAGGCTCCATCTCCCATGAACCGCCAGAAAAGCGGAAGGGGTGTTGTGTGGCCCTGAGCCAAAGAGCTCGGAGGCCGCGCCAGGCCCCGAGTTCAAACCCCACAACCGACCGAAAAGCTCGGTCCGGTGTACATGAAATGAGACGAGTTCTACGGGGGATACCCGGGCTCATCCCAGCATCTCAGGCCGGCCTGCCCCCGGACGTTTGCTGGTCCCCTCCGTCCACCACCCACTCGCTTACAATGTCCTAGGTAACGTTCCTTTCGCCTTTGTTGTTTCTGTGGGCTCTGTTGGGGTGTTTTTTTTCAGGTCCTGGGGCTTTTTATGGAGGAGAAATTTGAATATTAATGAAGCTCAGGGTTTTTTTTTTTCATGAATGGTCTTCATATGATACCCTAAATTAACCTGATGTGGTTTGTATCCGTGGCCTCATCGGTCACCGGCGAGTTCTTTCACAGTACTACGATAGGTTGATGATAGTAAGAACATCCCTTCTCCAGATGCAGCAACCCTGTGAGAATCCTGCTTCTTTGAAGAACAAGTCTACTCCTCAGCCCTTCCTGGAAATCATCCATTGAGTCTGGTGCTTTGCAAGCCTGTGTGCAAGAGGAGTTTTTGTCACTCTGAGGAAGGATGCTCTAGTTGTGAGATTATCTCTCTCCAAGAATCAAGAGGACTACCTGCTTTGTGTTCTTACCAGCCTTAATAAACGTTCTTGGCATTAAGAGACTGAGCATCCTCTCTGCTTCAATTAGCCAAAGAGGTGGGGAAAAGGATAGGACAAGCTATTTCTCTTTTCCTTCAAGCTAATTTAGAGCTATCTGAAATATATAGCTGGTAAATACCTAGGTAAAAATTTGCAAGAAACCATATACTTCATACTTCGTCCTCTAAATTCTGTCTTTTAAACTCTAGTGTAGGTTACAGCCAAAAAGAAGTGATGCAGGCTCTTGGATATTGTCTGATTTGATTCACTTTATTAGAGAGGCTGCACACTGAACAGCTGGTGCATCTCCAGCTCACCCCAAAAGGCACAGTTGATTGGAAAAGCTGTTGTTGCACCTGCTCACACAATACCAAAGGCATCTAAAAAAGCATGCAATAAGGAACATAGAACTCCTCTATGACCCAGCAATCCCACTTTTGGGCATTTACCCAAATGCTTACAAACAAGACCACACTAAAGCTACCAGCACAACTATGTTTATTGCAGCATTATTTACCATAGCTAAGATATGGAACCAACCCAGATGCCCCTCAGTAGATGAATGGATCAAGAAAATGTGGTATATATACACAATGGAATTCTATGCCTCCATCAGAAAGAATGACATTGCCCCATTTGTTAGGAAGTGGAAAAACTTGGAAAAAATTATATTAAGTGAAGTAAGCCAGGCCCAAAGAAACATAGGTCCCATGGTTTCCCTTATATGCAATATCTAGTATATGTATGAGTCAAGCGGAAAAGGTCAGATAATGTGATGTCAGGAAAATGAACCCTTAGATATGTATTTTAATGTTTTTTTCTTTCATACATGTGTTTCTAACACATTTATAAGATTATCTCTTTGTTGCTTTGTATGTCCCTCCCCCACAGTATAACCCCTGCTTTCACTATATTTGATGTCAGTATAACTTGTGGAGGAGATGGGGAAAAACCAGTTGTTTAAGGATACAGGTAGACCTGTTGCAACAATGAGAAGTACAAGATGTCATGCCCAAAACGAGCTTTACAATGTCGGTGGCGGGGGGAAGAGGGGGGAAGGATTGGGATTGGGATTGGGGGGGAGGGGGGAGGCTGGGAAGGGATGTGAAGGGTAAGGAGGAGGCTGCAATGCTTGGTAAGAAATGTACGCATTATCCTGCCCATGCAATTGTAACCCCTCTGTACAGTATGTTCACAAATAAAATTAAATTAAAAAAAAAAAGGAAGGGAGCCTCGGTCTGCAGACGCCACCCCGTAATGGAGAGCTGACGTTTCCTCCCTTCATGTTACTATTGCACCAATAAAGGCTGTCCATGCAAAAAAAAAAAAAAAAGCATGCCATAAAATACCATCCATATGCTGTTTTTTGTTTTCTGTTGGTCATGGAGCTTGAACTTCGGGCTTAGGCTCTGTCCCGGAGCTTTTGTGCTCATGGCTAGTGCTGTACCACTTCGAGCCATAGCACCACTTCCAGTTAACTGGAAGAGGTTAACTGGGGATAAGAGTCTTAGGGACTTTCCTGCCCAAGCTGGCTTTGAACCTCAATCCTCAAATGTCATCATCCTGAATAACTAGGATTACATGCTTAAGCCACTGGCACCAGCTTACATTTAATTTTAAGTGTAATATTTTTTATGTTTTTTTCTGCAATAGTGGGGTTTGAATTCAGGGCCTCCCACTTGCTAGGTAAAAGCTCTTATTGCATAAAGCATGTTCTCCCCCCCCAACTGTTTTGGAGGGGTTTTAATTTTTATTTTAGGGGTCTCCCACTTTTGCCTGAGCTAACCTTAGATAAGATCCTCCTAACTCCACCCCCTGAGTAGCTAAGATTACAAGTGTGGATTAAGATTACAAACATGCCCCGTATAATCAGTTTTTTAAGGTTAGAAGTGTCACCAGGATGAAAGTTTGCATTGTCTATTGTCTTAGTAGAATTACTTGGAAAATATTCCTTTTCCCTCTGACATTATTAACCGTAAAAGTCTAGCTCCCACCAAATTTAGCCAGCATTTAAACCAAAGTCTAAGCCAGCAATACATTAGAAGTGTTTAATCTTCCAGAAAACGAGGTGACAACTCTTGGCCCCAGCATCTGGTGTTCCTAGCAGTAAATACACATTGCAAAATGGCTTTATTTCACACGCTCACTCACAGAGCCAATCTGGAGGGTGAGTTCTCGGTGTCAGGTTATTCCTTCCCAGAGGCTGGATTCTAGAATTAGAAGCTGTTCCTGACTCTCAGGTGGTGGGAGGAGAATTAGGGATCTTCATTTCCTCTTTTTTGAATGGTTCTTTCAGCCTGTGGTTGATTCTTGTCCCTACTAAACATTGCCCCTCAGCCTTGGATACTAATACCTTCGCTAATCAAAACCTAGTTGTTTACACTTCCTGATGCTGGTGACTTACGCGTGTGGTTTCTCCATTCATGCAGTACTGACTTGATCTCTCATAGAAACACTGGTGTTCCCTGTGGCTTAAAGCCACGTGATGCCCATTGTGGCCATGGTCCGAAACTCCAGCGCTTCGTCAGGTGCTTTTACTGTTCTAAGGTCTAGATAGATTGAGCTCACACTGGCAGATTCACAATCCTCTAAGAAAGCAAAGAAGGAAATGGCAAAGTCTGTACTTCTACTTCCTGCATATAAAAGTTCATGTATTTAAAGTAATAACCAACTTAATTATCTGTAGTAATGGAGAGGATAATGGTATGTACCTACACCGCATTGCCCTGAATCACATAGGTTTTGAAGCATAATGATTTCCCCCATATTTATTTTACCAGTTATGCTGTGCTTATAATTTTATTAAACCAAGTCTCCTTTTCCTTGAGCACTGTGCTTTATAAGTATAGAAGGAGTCATTGCAAGGGCCCATTAAGTTGCAGGAGCCAGTCTTGGATTAGAAATTTAGATTAGATGCTTGCCATACAAAAATTGCATGCATGATTAACCATACTTCCAAGACCAGAGAAAATGCCACCCCAACACAGAAGACCCTAAATGTCATCATAGTCTTTCTGTAAATTCCTATATCAAGCTGTCCCATATACTTTTGTTGTTGTTGTTGTTTTGAACTCGGGGCCTGGGTGCTGTCACTGAACTCTTTTGCTCAAGGCTAGCAGCTCTACCACTTTGAGCCACAGCTCTACTTCTGTCTTTTGGTGGTTAATTGGAGATAAGTTTCACTGAGACTTTCCTGCCCCAGTTAGCTTTGAACCATGATCCTTAGATCTTAGCCTCCTGAATAGCTAGAACTGATTATAGGCATGAGCCATCAGCATCAGATCTTGTTTTTATTTTTTTTTATTTCTTCTATAAAGCTCTCCTTCAACCTTTTGTTTAGAGAATAACAATGTGTTCTAGTGTAAAAAAATTCATTTTTGAGCTATTCCAATTAAATGCTATCTTGCATATTTAGTGCTTTAACTGTGTATGTCTAGGGATGTTTCTTCGGTTATCATGTCTGTTAGTGTTCTACATTCTTCCACATGGATAACTCATGTTTAAGTTTTCTGCTATTATTTGCTTAAATATATTATCTATACTTGTAGTTTATCTCTTTTCCTTAGTCTATCTCTATGCTTCAGAGGTTTTGTTTTTGATACAGTTCCAATAGTCTTCTTTTTTTTTTTTGGGTCCGGTTGTGGGGCCTGAACTCTGGGCCTGGGCGCTGTCCCTCAGCTCTTCAGCTCACGGCTCGCACTCTACCACTTGAGCCACAGCGCCACTTCCGGCTTTTTTTCTTTTTGCTTATGTGGTGCTGAGGAATCGAACCCAGGGCCTCGAGCATGCAAGGCAAATGCTCTACCACTGAGCCACCTTCCCAGC